ATTAGAGCGGGGGTGGGGGAGGGGGATGGGGGGAGGTGGGGACCAGCAAACAGGGTGAGCAAGGCCACAAAATGCCAAAACATCGTAAAATAAAAATAAATAAATGCTGTGTTTACTGTGGGCCCCACCACCTGGGCCTCTCCAGGGAAGCTGACGGCCTGTCCCAGGTCCTGGGCAAGTGCAGGCTCAGGGTGGCGCTCTGCCCACCCAGCCTCCGGTGCTCCCAGGGCAGGGCTCTGTGTCTGCGACATGAGAGTGGCATGTTACGTGGACACGCGGGGAATGGTCCACGTTCTTCCTCATGGGATTCTGATTTCTCGCACGTCGGCCCATTTATTGCACACGGGCCCAACCCTCAGGGCGGGGCTCTGGCCCAGGGGCCGGGACCCTGTGCTCAAGTGCCCACCCAGCGGGGCCGAAGGGGTGCTGGCATGGGGGGGCCACCCAGGCATACATCCATGTCAGATTGGCCTGTATTATGTGGAATTGGTTTCCTTCTTCTAGTCCTAATTTGTTGATTGTTCTTGTCACAAAAGGATATTGCCTCTTGTCAAATGATTTTTCTGTATCAATTTTCCCTTCATTCTGTATTACATTGATTGACTTTCACCTAGTGAACCATTCTTGTATTCCAGAAATAAATTCCACTTGGTCATGGTAGATGATCCTTTAATTTTTTATTTTTTTAAAACATGTTTTTACTGATTTCAGAGAGGAAGGGAGAGAAAAAGAGGGATAGAAACATCAACAATGAGAAAATCATCAATCGGCTGCCTCCTGCCCGCCCCACACTGGTGATCGAGCCCACAACCTGGGCATGTTCCCTAACCGGGAATCAAACCGTGATCTCCTGGTTAATGGGTTGACAGTCAACCACTGAGCTACACTGGCCAGGCTGATCCTTTTAATATGCTACTGAGTACAATTTGCTAATATTTTAATGAGGATTTTTGCGTCAATATTCATCAGGGATAATGACGGATGGTTTTCTTGTGACATCTTTGTGTGGCTTTGGTATAAGGGTAGTGCTTGTCTTACAGAATAAACTTGGACGTGTCTCTTCAACTTTTTGGAAGTATCTGAGACAAATGGTTCTCCAGTGTTATTAATTCTCTAGTGAAGCCACTTGGTTTTTTCTGTTGGAAAGTCTTTAACTGCTTATTCAATCTCTTTACTCATTACTGGTCTGTTCAGATTTTCAATTTCTTTGTGATTCAGTCTTGGTAGGTTTTGTGTTTCAAAGAATTTATCCATTTCTTCTACGGTATCCAATTATTCATAGTGTTCTCTTATGGTCCTTTTTATTTCTGTGGCATCAATTGTCATGTTTTCTCTTTCAATTTCTGATATTATTTGAGTCTTCTCTTTTCTTCTTAACTAATTTAACTAAGGGTTTGTCAATTTAATTGATTCTTTTCAAAAAAAACAACTCTTAATTGTGTTGATTTGTGTCATAGTTTTTCTATTCTTTTCGCTTATACTCTGATCTCTACTGTTCTCTCCTTTGGAGCTGCTTTGGGTTTCGTTCTTGTTCTTCCAGCTTCGTGAGGTGTTGGGCGGGCTGTTGGCTGAGGCCCCTCCTTCTTCCCATGTGCACTTGCAGCTCTAAGCGGTCCTCTCGGCGGCTCGGCGCCGTCCACACAGGGGATGCCTTGCTCTTACTCCCACTTTCCTCAAGGCACTTTCCAGTTTCCTTTGTGAC